ATCTATCTATCTATCTATCTATCTATCTATCTATCTATCTATCTATCATCTATCATCTATCTATCTATCTATCTATATACACATTAGTAAACAAAATAGTTATTCAAAATCATTCTAGTACTGGTATGAACCTTATAAATCTTTCACGTTTCTTTTCAATATCTATCAAACTTTGAGAACAATTGAAATGTTTCCCTCCCTTCTTCATTATTACTTAACTGTTAATAAGCTTACCATTGGATAGTCATACAATTTTAGTTTTATAAATTATTTACTATTAATAAGCAAAATAATTCAAATTAATTCTAATAACTGGTGTAAATTTCCTTATTAATCTTCCACATTTCTTTTCAATATTTTATCAATCTTTAGAAACAATTGCAATGTTTCCCTCTCTTCTTTATTATTGCATTAATTATAAATAAACATACCATTACATAACAATAGTTTTATCTCATAGATTATTTACTTATTTCATTTCTAACTCATTACTGTATTCTACTGTCACAACACTATATTTTGTACCTTTGCAAAATCCTCACTTTTAACTTAATTTAACCATTGTCTCTGTTTTTTACCTGAGCAAATACCTTTAATCCTAGTACGTTTCCCCTTTTTCTTTATTTCCTATTTTTGTCCCTCATAAGTTCTTTCCCTTTCTATCTTTCCCCCCTTTTTCTCATCCCCTTTTTTATACCCTTCTCTAATTTTTCCTTCTGTAGTTTTCTTTTCTGCTTCTCCTTGCTGTTATATTTCTTTATCAGACTATTTTTCTTTTTAGCTGTTCCCTTTGATCTCAGACTTTTAACTCCTTTCCCCCTTTTTAACCTTATTACCACACTTTGCATTATTTGATGATTGAAAATGGCTTCTTCTTTGTCCCGCCCTTCTTCTTGCTCTTGAAGCTTTTCCTTTTGCTTTTCATAGTTCAGGATCTTCATTTCAAAAAATTCAAACACGAAGCTAAAGGATCTTCCTCCCCTTTCTGCATCTTCTTTCTGTTTTTTAAGACTCATCTTCAATTCCTCCAGGAGTGATGGCATTTTAAACACTTTTGAACAACCAACCAATTGACTTTAAGTAAAAACAGGGAAAAGAAAGAAACAACCAATGCCAAAAACTTTTTTTTTAAATCACCAAATGATCCCAGACTGTTCCTTCTTGTTTCTATCCTTTACTTTTCCTTTTACTGTATCTTTTAATAAGATTTCAGTTATAATGTATCCTTTGGAGTCTTTTCAAAGTTTCACTGTTAATCCTCTTTATTTTTCCAGATGGCACTCCATTTTCCCATTATTCCAAGTCCCACCCTTTCGCCTCCACTCTTCTCCTTTTTAGGGCTTTAAAATGATCAAAGAAAAAATCTCTATCCTCCTTTTGACACTTAGATTTCAGCTTAAGGTTGCCTATTAGTGTCAAAATAGATTAATATAAATTTCTTTCCATACCATTTGTAATTGTCAATATAAAAGGTAAAAAAAGGGTTTTTAACCTCATTTTCTCTCTCCGCTGCTTAAAGATCTTCTTTCAGAAGTATCTCTCTAGGTACTTTTAGATTCAGGGTACCTTGCTCAGATGTTCTCTGTTGTTTAGCCTGGTCTGTCCTGCTTTCCTCTTTGTCTTCCTCCTGCACAATCTTATCCAGTCGGGGTCTTCTTTGAGGTGGCCATTTCTGACCACCACTGCAACTGCCTTCGGGGAAGGGAGTTTAGACCAGCCAAGGAGAAGAGATGTGGCTCCCCTCCACTGGGCTAGCAATCTCCCCCCTCCACCCTCTACGGGGTGGCTTCAGCCCCGAATCCAAAGGATCGGGGTGCTCCAGTGGTGAGCACAGATCAAAACCGCGCACGATCACGGATTTCGGTCTGTCGCTGAAGAGACCCAAACCAGAAGTCTAAAATTGTCATGATTCTTATTTATCACAAAAGCATCTGGTAAACTGACCTTGTGCTCAGAGAACTGAATAAATAGAATGCAGTTTTAATTTCCTAAAAATTTCCTAAAAAGATACTCCAAGATAATCCTATTTATACCATGATGTAACTGGTAGAAAATTCAGTGTGCCTTTAGAAGTTACTAAAACGGTACATTTAGCCAACAGATATTCTGATTAAGTAATATTTCCGGCAGAACTGCAAGCATACTTGCTAAATAGGCTGGCTTTTAATGATCCTCCATATTCTGCAAAACCAAGAGGGAAGAGCAAGGAGATTGTATCTAACATAGTCAAAGCAGGAAACCCAGATAAGCTCTCGCTAACCATCCTCTCTGTAATGAATTTTGAATATGTTCTGAAACCTCAAAAATCTCATTCAAATAAGTATAGTACTTGTTTAGGTACAATAACTATTAATTTTTAGAATTCCACACATCTCAACCTAAATATCTGCAAGAAAGAAGCAATGGTGAAATATGGTAAAAACCTACTTGAGTTTAAATACAGGATTAAGTATGAAAGACTGAGGTTTGTATTCTGTTGTCACAACTTGTGTTTTATCATTTTTGTATCATCATAATTTGTATTGAACATCTGTATCTGCTGACTTCTCTCTCCTCCTCCCCTCCAATATTTTGCTTTTCCAATGAAGTCTTTATAATTAGTGATTTGGTTTACTTTGGTTTAACAAAGCAATTTCTCATAAAAACATTCCTGCATCGAAGACAAACTCTCAGGTTGAGTCAACTTCAGGTTTGTTAAGTGATGTACAACCAAGGTTGGGGGAGGGAAACCCAATGTACTTTCTTTTCAATTGTTGCGGCCAACACCTGGCTCACTTACAGCAACCAAACCACTTTGAAGATATAACATAATTTTATTAGTATGCAAAGAATAAAACAGTGTACACTGGGCTCCCAGGGCCACATTGGCTCACATGGTAAGACACTGGGCCTGCGCACCGCTGAGGTCAGCAGCTCAATTCCTGTGAGTGTTTAGGGACCAGAAAGGAGCCTCCCCTGATTGCCTCCCAGCATTCAGGTGTCCCACAGGTAAAGATAACACCACCTGAAAAAATTCCTTTCATAGAGGCAGCCTCGGTGATCCCTGGCTAACACGTACCATATGCTAAAGAAAACTGAGCTCCCAGCAAAACATTGGCAACTTGATCAACCTTTTACCCACATTATGTTCCTAAAGCTGATCTGAAAGGAAAGGGGAAAAATGCTGAGTAGAATGGCTAAAATCCCCCTAATCGAATAGACTATGAAGGTTCTGCTTGATTGGTGCAGCCTATCTTAAGTACATTTTGCTAAGTTATTGAAGAAAGGGATCTACTTTTCAATTACCACTTTCAGAATTTGTGAGAGATATTCATGCAACTTTTGCAAGACTGTCTTGCCAATCATAAGAGGTATTGATACAGAAATTGTGACAGCCTTGAGAAACAAGCTGATCCCAACTTGGGCAGGAAGTATAAGGGCTTTTCTGGGACAAATAAATCACGTAATAATAAAACAAAAATGCCCAAAACTTTTGATAACTGTTTAAGGAAGTCCTTACCGTTCATTATTATTTTAAAGCCATTGTGATCCTCACCTGTGCTTTCAAGATAAGGTTGAGTATGTTGAGTTTGAGTGTGAAAATAGCAACACCAAAATAATAGATGGCAAGTCTGGAGAAATGGGAAATAGAACACAAACTGCCTAATTTGACTTGACTGTGAAAGTGCATGGGAGCCCTGCTTCCCCCACTTTAAAAAAAAAATAAAAATAAAAATAAAGGAGAGGGCAAAGGATTGGGAAGGGTTTAACCTTTCCTTATATTTTTCCAGTTTATTTTTATTTTCAAAAGCATTGTACATGTGTATTGTTTTCTGACCATGGGTCCTTCATTTTTCTATCACTGAAAAATACCATTCCCTTAGAAGCAGTGTTCTTCAATGTGCCTGTTTTTCTTCTTGATTGTTTTCTTTGAAACTAAGAATTATTTTTAATGCATTAAGTGTCTGCTCAATTCCTTCCCTCTCAACTTAGTCACAATGGCTGTGGGACATCAATGGAACACCAAAGAAAGCTGAATTAAACTTTCTGTCCTTTGCACAGCTTTCAAAAATGCTATCGATGTGAAGGTCATTTTTGTTTTCTTTTTCAAGACAGAACAGCAACTTGTCATTGTCAGACATTTCAAGTTCCCAACCAGTTATTCTTAATAACGTTTGACGCGCCTCCATCACCAGGCAAGATACAGATAGTAGATATAACAGAAATCTAGGAAAGACCTTTCCCATGATTTTAAAATTTAACAATAAAGCCCATTCTTCAGATTAATCTAATTTGATCCCACAATTGTAAATGGGCGTAAATCCAAACACAGTGACTGGATTGGTAAAACAGTAGCAGGTTGCAACTATTATAATAGTAGCAATTATTCCTCGCCCAAAGTATACTGACTAGATTCAAATGTTCATGTAGCATATTAAGTCATAAGCAAAAATTCATATTTTAGCTTAGTTTAATGTAGTCCAATTTCTGCCTGGAGAGACACCATAAAAACAATGAATACCATTGAAACTTATTCAAGGTAATGAAAAGTTAGAATCGCTGACGCAGCACTATAAAGTTAAAACACTAAAATATATTGAAATATATTGAAATTTCTTAATAATAAAATATAGACCGATGATGCTCAACCTCAACAGCTTTTAAGAAGCGTGGACTTCAACTCCCAGAATTCCCTGCACAATTCAACTTCACAACGAAGCCCTCGGGCGTCACGCTCCCTATTTTTAAGTCGTCAGCCTTCTTGGAACCAATAGGAAGGGACGGCACGCGGCGCATTCGTGTGACGCCACAAGAAAGCGAAGAGCTCGCGCACTCATTGGGAAATCTGCTCCGGAGGGGAGATTCTAAACGGGGAGGCGGCAGGAGAGTCCATCTAGGCAGGTGGAGGGGGGGGGCAGAATCTACCATGAAGTGAGAAGTGGACAATGGCCCAGCAGCATAAACGGTGAGGATGGGCTTTGCAGCCGTTATATATTTTGACTAAACTGACATTTTTATTGTTTTTCACTATTCTCCCCCCCTCCATCTTTATTTAGGTATTTTTAAAAGCCCATCGGGCTAAAAGGAAAGGAAGATCCAGTCACTTCTGCTCCAGGGCATAGAAGATGGAGGGTTTGGGATGTTAAAAAAAAGGAGAAAGAAAGGCTGGCAAATGCAAAAAAAAAAGAAAAGAAAAAAGAGGAATAGTTTAATTTAGATCAATCGCTTTGAAAACCCTTGCAGATTAATGTTGCACCCTGGAAGTAATCTAGGATTCTGCCTCTGCAAATGATAGCAAGCGCCCTTTTTGATTAAAAAAAAATAACGAATTGTTTTTATTAGTGTCAAATAAATTAGAATAATAAAAATACTTTTTTAAAAACGTAATTTACCTGATAGAAAGAAATATGCAGGTTTCTTTCAGGTTCCCTTCCTTTCTCAGCATTGACTGAGGTGTACAGATAGTCCTTGACTTATGACCACAGTTGAGCCCAACATTTTTGTTGCTAAGTGCAACTTTCATTGAATTTTGCCCCATTTTACGACCTTTCTTGCCACAGTTGTTAATGAATAGGTGCAATTGTTAGTAACACAGTTGTTAAGTGAATCTAGTTTCCACATTGATTTTGTTTGTCAGAAGGTCTCAAAAAAGGATCATATGATCCTGGGACACTGCAACCATCATAAATATGAAACAATTGCCAAGTGTCTGGATTTTGATCATGTGACCATAGGGATGCTGCAGTGGTCATAAATGTGAAAAACGTTCATAAGTCACTTTTTGCAGTGCCATTATAACTTGGAATTGGTCACTGCATGAACTGTTGTAAGTCAAGGACTACCTGTATTCAAATAGGATTCCTAGATAGGCTTCTGAGTTATTAAATCCCTGAGTGACAGAATGAAAAAGAAAAAAAAATCCTGATGGCTTTTTATTGACTTGTAAATACGCTGGGAATACCTTTGACTTGAAGATTTTATAACAAATTGCCATTTCTGGACTGTGCCTTTGTTTACTATTCTGTAGCATAATTTTTTATTTCTTTGAGAATAATGACAAATAAAAAAAAAAAACAGAAAGATAATTATGATAAAATAGTATACGTTGTCAAAGAAAAGCTTCTTTAAAAATGAAAACTTGTAATGCTAAACTTGTATATACATGAAGATCAAAATGGATTCCTTCCAACTAGGCAAATAAAGAATAATCTAAGAATAGTATTAGACGTACTAGAATTTTATGAAGCCCACCCAGAGAGACAAGTAGCACTCATGTTTCTAGATGCAGAAAAAGCTTTCGATAATTTGAATTGGCAATTTTTAATTCAAAAAATTTATAATTTGAATCTGGGTACTAAATTTGAAAATATTATAACAACTATATATGATACACAACAAGCTAATATAATAGTGAATGGGGAATGCACCCGCCCAATAAAGATAGAAAAAGGAGTGAGACAGGGTTGCCCACTCTCTCCCCTGCTCTTCATATTAGCATTAGAGACATTATTAACACGAATTAGGCGGAATTCAGATATAAAGGGATTAACAGTTAAGAAAGAGGAATATAAATTGCAAGCGTTTGCGGACGACATGATTTTCTTCCTTGAAGAACCAAAAGACAGGGGACCAAAATTGATGAGTGAATTAGAGAAATTTGGAGCAGTAGCGGGACTTAAAATAAACAAAAAAAAAACCAAATTAATGACCAAAAACCTAACAGAAAAACAGAAAATAGAACTAGAAGAAATAATGCAGATACAAGTGACAAAGAAAGTGAAATACTTAGGAATTTGGCTAACCCCACACTGTAAGACACTTAAAGAAAACAATTATGATAAACTGATACATCAGGTAAAGAAAGATTTAGAATCGTGGGGGAAACTTCAAATTTCACTACTAGGCCGAATTGCTACTATTAAAATGAACATTCTCCCTAAATTTTTGTATTTATTCCAAACGATCCCAATTAAATTACATAAAAAGTTTTTTGAAGAACTCAATAGAACAACCCTGAAATTTATTTGGCAAGGGAAAAAACCCAGAATAAATGTAAAAGCAATGCAGGATATGAAGAGCAGGGGAGGATTAGCATTTCCAAACTGGGAGTTATACCATATGGCCACCTCATTAGTTTGGTTGAAGGATTGGGTGAATTTAACCAATAAAAGAATACTATTTCTAGAAGGCCATGATTTACAAAGGGGGTGGCACGCCTTTCTATGGGACGTAGGGAAAACCAGTCAAAAATATTTCCATAGACAGGAAAATAAGGAAAAAACATTATACAAAAGTACCAGTATGGATTTCAACAATGGAGGCAATGATTCACCCAAACAATTTGGAGCTTACCAAAATGATTAAATACAAAGACTTATTAGACCCACAAGGAAATTTGAAACCGAGGCTGGATCTTCAAGAGCAAGGACATAAAATTGATCAATGGGTTTATCTTCAGATTCAAAGCAGATATAAACAAGACAAAAAAGAATTCGGAATTAATAACAAACCGCAACAGTTAGATAAAATTTTATTAGGATCAAATAAAAAAAACATAACAAAATTTTATAACTACTTATTAGAAACAGAACTAGAAGAAGAAATCGTAAAAGGAAATATGATTGCTTGGAGTAAGAAAGTAGGGCGCAGCATCACATTAGCGGAATGGGAGAAAGTTTGGGGCAGAAACAATAAGATTACCAAATCGGCAGCATACAAGGAAAATCTTTATAAAATGTTTTATAGATGGCATCTCCCCCCTTCGAGGTTAGCGAAGATGCACCCCAACATGAGTCCGCATTGCTGGAAGTGTAGGAAAAAAGAAGGAACCTTTTTCCATATGTGGTGGTCTTGTGCAGAAACCCAAAAGTATTGGAAGAAAATCAAAACTTGGTTGGAAGAAATCACCAAAGAGCAGATCGAATACAAACCAGAGTCCTTCCTACTAGGGATTTTTGATAAGCAAATTTCCAAAAAAACCAAATACATAACAATACACATTTTAACAGCGGCCAGATTAGCCTTCGCTCAACATTGGAAACAACATCAAATTCCATCAGAAGAAATGATTATTGAAAAAATCTCAAAATGCGCAGAAATGGATAAATTGACTTTGGCGCTAAAAAATAAAGACACTTCACTATACTATGATAGCTGGAATTGTTGGTATAATTGGATTGACCAAAGATAAATAATATATTATAAGGCATAAAAGAAAAGTATCAATACATAATAACGAGGTAACGATATAAGTTAAAAACAGGTGTGGTTATATGACACAAGTTAAGGTGATGAAAACAAAAGAAGATCTTACAAACTGTTAAAATAAGAATACTTTTAATCCTGTAACCTCTTTCTTTCTTTCTTTTCTTAAAATTCTTTCCCTCTCTTCCTCTTCTCTCTTCTTTCTTTTCTTTCTTTCTTTCTTTTGCTTATTTGTGTATGTATTGTGACTGGTTTTAATTGTAAAAATTAATAAACTATATTTTTTTAAAAAAAATGAAAAAATACAGCAAAGGAAAAAAAGTATATAATTTTAACACAAAATAATTGCATTTCTATATATACTCATCTAAAGCTATTATTATTCAAGATGTACATGTTTCTAATACATTGATATAAGTAGAATGTTTTTAACCTAATGTATTTTGCATAAGTGAGTCCCATGTTTCATTATATTTATCTATACAAAATCTATGTCTATAGGCAGTCTATCAAGTACAATCTAGTTTGGTAATGAACATCTGCGAGGAAACAGTCAAACTCAGAGAGCACCAAGGACCCCACAGTTCAACCCTGAGCTACAAATATTCTTATCCATTGAGTGAAAGGGGCCATACATTTATCTTTCCAATGCTGCAGTATCCGTGTGATCAATATCACATCACACTATAGATTTCTTTTATCACGGTGTTCTCTAGGCCAGAAGACCCCAATCCCTGGACCATGTGGCCCACTACCAGGCCACCGCCTGTTTGGAACCGGACCTCACAAGTAGTGGTTGAACGTGTGCATGCGCACGAAGTTACCTTTGGGTGAGCAGTGGCCACTTGCACATGCACGCAAAGCTCCCCTTGCATGAGTGGTGGTTACTTGCACTTGCAGATGAAGCTTCCTCCACATGCATGCTCACAGGGAACATAGTCCCCCCCCCCCCCCCCGCAACCAGACAACCAAGTCAGAAAGGTTGAGGCCCACTGGCCTAGGCTCTGGCTCTTCCTTGTGTCTCCCAAGGTTCTTCTCATAGTCCATTACTCTTAACAATCAATGAAAATATTTAAATTAAACTAAGACAGATGTGGCAAAACTACTGGAATTTTATTTGTTAAAATACAGATATAATAAATAGTGTGAATGCATTCCAAATAGAACACATGCTCAATCTGGAGGAGTGATATCTATTAAACCTGGATGTTACTTTATGCATCCAAACGATTGTCCAAACTAATGGACAACATCTATTAAGAAATTCAGATTTTTTTCATTACAGCTGAAGTTTCTAAACTCAGAAAACCTTATGTCTCTTCAAGCAATTCAAATATGAAACTATGCCCATGATTTATTTAAGACTAAATATGTGCTCAGTTTGCTAATTCCATATTTGTTTATTTCTTTCTGGATTGCACTTCATTAATCACTGACCTTATCTGAAAACAAACTTTGAGTTTATTTTAGCCATTTACTTTTGCCTTAATATAAAAGGAAATTACGGTGTATGTATGCTATAGAATAATGGTGTTTTTCAAAATATTCTTTGAAACTGAGAACATTCTGAGAAATAAAATTTCCACATTATGGCATATTAATTATAGAGTTGCATGGCTTTTATGATTAAATATTAATTTGTATCCATTTTATAGATCTTGGTGTAAATACAAATTGTAGCTGCTTTTCAGAAATTTTAAGGCAGAAACAAGGAAGATGACATCAAACCCTTCTGGACAAGGTAAAAGTTAATTTTGAGTAATCTTGTCTTATTTATCTCTGGCTATTGCAGACAGGTTCTTTGTGGATTAACATTTAAACAAACAAGCAAAATCTCAGTTTCATACCAAAAGTATACATGTAGCATTAATACACAGGTAGTCCTTGATTTATAGCAGTTCGCTTAATGGACAAATATGGCAAGAAAGGTCATAAAACTCACTTAACAAATTTCTCATTTAGCAACATAAATTTGGGGGTCAATTGTGGCCATAAGTTGAGGACTACCTGTATCGTGACAGGAATGAAGAAGTAGTAGGAATGTCTTGGACTCCCTTTCTTTGAGATCCTTAGGATCACTCCTGCTTAAATTGCAGCAAAAATTGGTACATGATTTTAGTGATTTGATTTAGACTCCAGGCTGACTTTGAGCGGCTCACAGCATAAAAAAAAAATACAGTCGAAAATAGAAAAGTTTGAGAACAAGATGGTGACTGTTCAAAACTTCAAAATTCATACAGTCTTACTCAAAAAGGAGTTCCAACCCCCTTAGCTAGGATCTGGGAAAACATTCAGGTCTCTGAAGCCCTTCGGAACAGCACTCTAACCCAGGCATCGCAATAAGGAAGCCATACATACTCCTTTCGTGCCAACAATGTCACTTTTTAATTGAGGGTCCCAAACTGCATCAACTCATGTCAGTTCTTATTGGCTGGGCACTATTGGCAATGAATGGCCTGTCAAATAACAGCCCTATGCCATTGAGGCATGCCCAATACTGCACTCATGTCTGCATTCTTGCCCACTTGAAGCTTCTAAGTCAGGGGTGTCAAACTGGTGGCCCGCGGGCCGAATGCATCACACCCAGGCCACCTCCACCCCCTCAGCTCCGCGAAGGGAAAAGCACCATGAAACGTTATGTGACAGCAACGTGACGCCACAAGTTTGACACCTGTGTTCTAAGTGATCTTCAAAGGCAGCCTCACATATAGCATGATGCAATAGTCAATATATGAGGTAACAAGAGCATGTGTGACTGAAGGGCTAGTACACCCAGATGAAATTGTGCAAAAGCTTTCTGACTTTCTGAAATTGGAAAATAGCCTTAAAAATAGGGGTCCTAAGCTTCACCCTCTACCCAACTCCAGAAAAATAATAGTCTACATACTCGTATGACATCAACAGCCTGCAGCTTTAGATTGTCAAAATAATATAACCTTCATCACCACCCCTAAGTTATAAACTTTTACTTGCTTATCCTATTTATCAAATTATCCTATATAAAGACAGTGCTCCTTCTTGCTCTGGTAAGTTGAAAAGAAAATGTTATTTAATTTGGTAAGAAAATCCTACAGTCCTAGAACTACTTTCTTACAAATTTTCTGAACATATGAATTGACTTTTTTACCTTTCACCTTCCCTGTCATATATTGGGTGAAATTAATTTTCTTTAATATCCATTGAATATGTTATATGTTTTTATTGGAATGATTTATAGGCAGTTTTTGCTGCAACAAAATTATATAGCAGCACATTTTTTCTAAATGTTTTTTTTTTGTACAACGTCCTTTAAAATTGACTCATTAAATTATCTGACCTTATTACAGAGTTTTCAAATTAGTCTTCGCAAAGAGAGAGTTCTCTTGGGAAAAAGTTTTCAGACACAGTTTTATTTATCCTTTAAATCACTGTTCCAAAGCCTTAAACCAAAGGGCATCCATTAGTGTATAAGTATGGATTTCTCCAAAGACTCCCTATTCATAAATCACTCTGTATTGCATGCTTCTCTTTATGCTGCTGTCATTGTTAAAGGCAAGTAAAATACCATATTTTAATAATTCAAAAGAACTGTAATGACTAAAATGAATTTTCTTTAATTATTACTGAACGTTATGGGACAATATGTCCTTAGAAAGTGAAAGATAATTGGCTTGTTGATTGCAATCCTAAAAAGCGCAATTAAACCATTAGAAAAGAGGTATAGTCTCTCTCTAGGGTTGCATTGTTGAGAAACTCCGTGCTCAGGTGTTCACAGGAGACGGACGTAATGTTGCAGTGCAGATGCAATTCTGAAAACGACTTCTAAGCGCAACTAAACTCAAACTTCTTTTATGTTTCATTTTATTAAGAAGCTATTTAATGGTATAAGTAAGGAGAGGAGAAAAGGGGTATAGCTAGCCCTTGATTTACGACCACTCACTTAAGGACCGTTCAAAGTGACATTTGTCACGAGTATATTAAAAAGAAAAGTTCTCTCAGCCCTAGGAAAATAGAAATCCAAAGAGAGAGAAGCTGAAAACTACTACTCTTTAATTGGGTTAGATACTGGTAGTCCTCCACTTATGACCGCTCATTTAACAACCGTTGAAGGTTACCGCTAACAGTACTGAAAAAAGTGACTTATGATGTCAGGGTTCCAAGTAACAGACCCACAGCAAACCAAACTCCGAGGCAGATAGATTCCTCAAAGAATAATTTTGTTTGATATGTCATCGTGGCACAGTTCTAGTGAAAACTGACTCTGAAGGTTTCCACAGTTTTCACCTAATCAGAAGTTTCCCCCCCTCCTCAAACAATCTGTCACATGGTCCAATCAAGGCACTGTCTGGTTGCCTAGTGACATCACCCCCCCTTCCTCTGACCAGGTGTGAGAATGTCCTTGGTTCCCAAGGGAAAATATTTTATATTAGCTACAAAACTGCATCCTATCTCTAATCTCCCTTCCTTATCCCTCAACTCCAGTGTAGCAACCCTGAAGCTCCAAGATAGCTTCAGTCAGGTCAGCTTCAGGGTTAACAACTTTAGACAGACAAACATCACAGCGCCCCCAAAGTCATGTGATCAAAATTTGGGCACTTGGTAACCAACATATAATTACAGCTTCTGCAGCATCCTTGAGTAAACCACAATTTGGGACCTTCCCAGAGGGTTTCTGACAAGCAAAGCCAATGAGGAAAACTGGATTCACTTAATGACTGTGTGATTCCCTTAATGACCAAAGCAGAAAAGGTGTAAAATCAGGTACAACTCATTTAAATGTGTTGTTTAGTGATGGATGTTCTGCTCCCAATTGTAGTCGTAAGTCAGGGACTGCCTGTAATAAATACAGGTAGTCTTCGACTTACAATAGTTCATTTAGTGTCTGTTCAAAGTTACAACCAGGTTAAGAAATTCATAACTGCAGTGATTAATTTAACAACTGTGGCAAGAAAAGTCATAAAATGGAGCGAAACTCACTTAACAAATGTTTCACTTAGCAACATAAATTCTGGGCTCAATTGTGGTCATAAGTCGAGGACTACCTGTGAGTGTCGGGGATGTTTGCTTTCAAGAAGAATATCTCTTGTGGTTTGCCGGCAGCTGGTGCAGATGGCAGCGGAATCGGACAGTGGGGAAGAACGGGGACCAGTCAGGGAGTCTGGAGAGGACTCGGGTCCTGCGTCCAATGCAGAGATGGGGCCAGGACCATCTGGGAGTGAGGTGCTGACTCCGGAGTCTGGCAGCAGCGACGCAGAGGCCTAGGGGAGCCCGTTCCCAGTGAGCGTGTACACAGAGCTGCTAGAAGGCGAGAGCAGCTGAAACAAAAGGGGCGACTCAGGAGTCAGGCTGGGAGGTGATTGCCCCTCCCATAAGGTATAAAGGACAGGCCAAGATGATGAAACCTTTGCAGGAAGCAAAGTAGTTCAGTCAGTTCAGAGTAATGCTTGAAGCTCTTTGTACTTTTTTTTTCTAGTTCATTTGATACTTCTGTTATTGGCAGCACTTCACACAGGAAAGAAAGGTGGGTTCCTGTCTCTCGGGACTGTTTGAGATTAGTTCCGGCTGGGAATGAAAACAATTCCCAGCGTTGCAATAAAATAAGTCTTGTTTGTAAAACAAGTGTGTGCATAATTATGGTTTAGGAAGCCCTGATTAGAACAATAACTTCCTTTTTCTGAAAGATCATTTTGGAAAGGTGAAGTTATGGAGAGGTTAAAAGAAAGAATACACCATTCTAACATTTACATTCCTCTTATTTTATTTTATTTTTTTGCCAGGCTTTCAGAATAAAAACAGGGTTGCAATCTTGGCTGAGCTAGACAAGGAGAAGAGAAAACTTCTGATGCAAAACCAGTCTTCTACGAATCACCCTGGAGCCAAGTAAGCTATGCTCAAAAGCTTGTCCCTGGACCGCATGCTCATAGGTTCTCCTCATAGCAGTAAATAGGGACAAATAATGACTCTCCCCTCCCCCCACCTCCCCTGTAATAATTGGGAGCAGACTGCTTCTAGCAAGTGCCTTAATGTATTCAGGGCTTGTATAGGTAGTCCTCGACTTACAACAGTTCACTTAGTGACTGTTCAAAGTTAACGGTACTGTAAAAAGTGCCTTTGACCAGTGGTGGGATTCAAATAATTTAACAACCGATTCTCTACCCTAATGATTTCTTCCAACAACCAGTTCGTCAAACTGCCCAGAAAGTAAACAACCGGTTCTCTCAAACTGGTGCGAACTGGCTGAATCCCACCACTGTTTATGACCATTGCAGCATCCCCATGGTCACATAATTTACATCCGGATGCTTGACAACTGACTTGCATTAATGACGGTTGCAGAGTCTCGGGGGTCACGCGATCCCCTTTTCTGACAAGCCAAGTCAGTCAGGAAACCAGATTCACTTATCAGTCGGGTTACTAATTTAACAACTGCAGTAATTCATTTAACAAATAGATACAGATTAAACAGAGTTGTAGGTCATCATCTAATCCCCTGCCCAAGCGGGAGACCTTACACCAGTGGTAGTCAGCCTGGTCCCTACCGCCCACTAGTGCACGTTTGAGCTTTCATGGTGGGCAATAGGGGTTTTGTCCCCTACTTTATAAATCACAATTACTGTGGAACCAGTGGGTGGTTAGAGAAAATTTTACTACTAACAGAGATACAAAAGTGGGCGGTAGGTATAAAAAGGTTGACTACCCCTGATTTACACCATTTCTGACAAATGGCAGTCCACTCTCTTGTTCTCAACTGATGGCGCTCCCACGACTTCCGAGGGCAAGCTGTTCCATTGGTTGATTGTTCTCACTGTCAGAAAGTTTCTCCTTATTTCTAGTTTAAATCTCTCCTTGTTCAGTTTCCATCCATTATTCCTTGTCTGGCCTTTAGGTGCTTTAGAAAATAGCTTGAATCCTCCCTCTCTGTGGCAGCCCCTCAAATATTGGAAGACTGCTGTCATGTCTCCCCTGGTCCTTCTCTCCACTAGACTAGCCAAGCCCAGTTCCTGTAACTGTTCAGTCCCTAATCATCCTGGTTGCTCTTCTCTGCACTTTTTCTAGAGTCCTTTCCAACAGAGGAAGAAACTATTTGAAACATTTTGAAATTTCAGTTTTTATATTTGAGTGCATTCACAGACACACACACATATACATGTATATGCACATACAGATATATACACAATTTACACAGTTTCACCTCACGGAAGTGATCAGAGATAACCTATGCATTAAACCTCTGTCCCAGATAGTGATTAAGGTACTTCTGGATATATTTTGTGGCAGAAAATTTGCATATAAAATACTTATATCTTTTCAATCCAAAATTGCAAAGTATGTCAAGTATTTTATATGCAAATTTCCCCCAGATTGAAAAGTAAGCAGGATCTACTTGGAAGTAGCTAGGGAACATGAGTTACTAGGCGCCTTGAAGTATGCTAATGAGGTTCAGGTATTGTAGTAGCAGAATTTTGAAAGTCTGTCATTTCTCTCAGCTTTAACTTACACAAGTAGGCCTCAGCCTACAACCACAATTGGGATCAGAATTTCCCTTGCTGAGCAAGATAGTTTTTACGTTAGTCACACCCAATTTTCCCGCCTTTTTTTGCCATGGTTGTTAAGTGAATCACACTGGTTGTTAAGTGAACCACATAGTCGTTTAGTGAATCTGGCTTCCCTTTTTGACCTTGCTTGTCAGAAGTCAGCTAAGAAAGTCGCAAACGGCGATCCCATAACCGCAGGACGCTCGTAAATCAGCTTTCATGAATATGGGCTGGTTGCCAAAGCACTCAAATTTTGATCATGTGACTTTAGGGATGCTGCAACCATCATAAGTGTGAGATTCTGTTGTAAATTTTTCAGTGCTGTGTAACTTCAAACAGTCAATAAATGAATAGTTGTAAATAGAGGATTACCTGTGCCTAACCCAATCGAGGAGTTGTTTTCAGTTTCTCTCTTTTGTTTTCTGCATTGATAGGATTGAGATATCCTTTTTGTTTAATGGCTCTACATTTTCCTGACATTATACACAAGACAACATGAGTAAAAACTGAGGGCTTGGAGCACCAGTTTATTGAACTTTTATGAAAGAACTCAATATTGTTAATCTAGAAACTGTCAGAGCTATGTATTTTAGCTACATGGTACCTGTTTTTGTCTAATGCTTTTCATCAGGACAAAGTCCAGGTATGCAACTATGTTCTTACAAAGCAGCGGGGGAAATTGAAGATATTGTAAAACAGGGTTTTTTTAAAAAAAAAATGATCCTTTTTCTTGTGTAATGCGTTTCACATCTTGATGAAGCCTACTGAATTGGATTTCTGAACTTTGAGTTTTGCCCCAAATACATTCTGTTTCTCAGAGGATTAACTACAAAAATAGCTCATAATTGAAAGATTTAAAAAAAAAAAATCGGTGTGAGCTTATCCAGTTTTCAGAATAAGTGGAGCGGGGTTGTTAGCCTACAATATCATTTTTCTGTTAATTGTCCTTAGTGAATACAAGTACTTGGATTGTATTTTCCTTGTCTCAGGCTCCCATAGAGATCATATAAGTAGTCTTTCTCTGGACCTTTTCCTATAAAAAAAATGATAGTCTTTGATAAAAATGGTATAATCTTTCTTTGCTTCCTCTCCGGGATGTTGAATTTTATCATGATTATATTAAGTGGCTCAGAGGGGAGCTTGTTAAATAGCTTGTTTTTCTTTTCAGCATGTCTAAACTAAAATTTAATAGGATTGTGTTACTACAGTCACATGTTTCTGCTCTGTAACATATCAACAAGCTATGTTACAAAGAGGCCTTGCTGGGACCCTGTCTCAAGGGGGAAATCTTTTCCTGCAGACAGGGTTCTGCAGCCACTGTACCAAACATACGAACTTCCCATCATGAAGTCTATGGGCCTGCTATTGTTTTATTCAGGTACTTGGACAAGGCACTGGGTGGCACTGTGAGAAAGGAAAAACATGGCAGCATAGGGGAGAGGAGAGGGTAGGATCTATTCTCCCACACGTCTCTCCAGCTGACTTGTTTTGGAGTTTTATAGCTGGGCATGGCTCTTCTTTATCCTTGAGCTTGAATACCATTAGTGGAGCACATCTGTCCAGAGCAGAACTGATCATCCCATTTGACTTTGGGGTTCTGAGCACATTAGATTTCTCCTCAGATCTTCTCTCTTAAAAAAAAAAAAACACCATGAAAGTTTTGACTCTGGCATACCTACCACAAACCTTTGCATTGATCCTGTGCTCTTTCTCAACTCCACCGCCTTGGTGTGATGTGGGTCTTTTCCTCTTTCTGTTATTTACAGCATCTCTTTGGCTAGGTCCTCCCTTAACAAGGATTTTCGGGATCACGCCGAGCAGCAGCACATAGCAGCTCAGCAGAAAGCTGCTTTACAGGTATGTTCTCCTTGTCAGTGCTGAGCAGCTTCATAGAGGTGGATGGTTTTGGTGGTGAAGGACAGAGAGAATTTAGGGAAAACGTATCCCTACATTTCTCTTTAATGATAGTCTTCTTCCATTAGGAATTACTTGAGGCTGCCTAACAAGACCTGTAACCAATTTGGGATGTTAACCCCAGTCTTCTGAGGTTCATATTCACTTTTCACTCAACCAACCTTCAGGCGTTTACTGCAATTCCTGTTTCAGTTTTTCTGAAATGATTGTGTGGTCATCTTTTTAAAAAGAGTAAACTAGCATTTAGTTTAAGTGTGGTGTCTGTACTTGGGTACAATGTCTTTTGCAATGCTCCAACCATGGGAACAATGCTCAGCTCAGGTGTGTGACTTATTTTGTGCACGTCCAGAAGAGACAAAAAGGCCAAAACCATTGTGGTAGAATCCACATGAGTTTAAGAATTAAAATCACGTTCTGTTTTTCCTGTACCTTGGAAAGTAGGGTCTACATTCAATGTTGCATGATACATTTCTGGTTGGGAATCAAAAATTTCCCTTCTCCTGTGCTATGTGTACCACAGAACTGCTGCGGAAAGTTAATCTTCCACAGCAGATTTCAGAGAGGAAGATAAGGGAAAATACATAAAGGAGAGAATCAGATTTTCCAAAAGTGTGTGTTTCTTCGATTCGATAATTCACAATTGAATTATTTTTAGGAATAAAAATTCATGTTCCTCACAAAAAGCTTAAAAGCAGGCATGTCCAACCCACAACTGACGAGCCACATTGTGGCCCGGGACAGGTGGTAATGTGGCCCCACAAGATAATAAGGTATAAGAGAAAGTTTGTTGTTTATATACATTAACTATATTATATATTTTATATGAAGACAATGCCTCTTCATTCAGCGCGGCCCAGGTAAACCAAAAGTTGGACAATCATGGCTTAGAAACTGCTTAAAGACAAACTGCTTAAATTAACTGAATGCTCTGATATGATCTTGGTGCAGAAATGGGAGCTGGGATTACGTCTGCTCATTCTGTGTCACATTATTTTTCATTTTAGATATGCACATGTGTATCTGCTGGAGGTCAGTTGGAATTCAAGCCATATTGGGAGCCTGACTCAGCCCAAATGCCCCTAAAGAATTCCATTAGCAAGTAGACAAATGGCCTTTGAGGAAAATCCCCTGTTAGATTTAAATGACCAATTCTGACTTTTACTAGGCCTTGGCTGACTTTTATATCAAAGTGATGAAATTGTGTGTGAAAGCTTTTGGCCACTGAAATTTATAGCTGAATCATTTTGAAACTGTTTAGTGGGTTTCTTTAGCGGGATGGGATTTCCTTTTATTTGCCTTTATATGTGTATAATTTTCAAACGGGTGTATCTATTCCTTTTCCAGCACGCTCATGCACATTCTTCAGGATACTTTATAACACAAGACTCAGCCTTTGGGAATCTTATTCTTCCTGTATTACCACGGCTAGATGTAGAGTAAGAGAAAATTCATGAAACAGAAAACATCTGCATTCATCTAAGCTGCTTTTTCGACTTTCAGGCAATTGTTTGTGAGGAGAAGAAGAACTGAAAACTGTTCAAAATGGCTTTGATTTTGAATTCCTGATATTTTGTTTTTGGGAGACAATATAAAATGTATTCTGGAAATTCCCTGATTTTATTCTCCTATTACATATGTATCGGCATTTATAAAGAACTTGTTTCCATTTTCGAGCACACATGAATAAGACTTTAAATCAGAAAATTGAGGGGGGACGTACAATGTCTCCATAACAGGAAGATCTATAACGATCTCTTACTACCCATTTATTAAATCGATTATGCATAAATCTTACTGGTGTGTTTTAATTCCTAATACTGTAAAAAGTAGAATGTTGGAGTTTACAAATTTAATGAGAAATAACCACATACATGGGATAAATCTATCAAATAAATTTAATGTTTAAGATAACTGGTTAGTTGAACTTTTTTCAAAGGCTTCCATCGTAAGATCAAATCACCTGGAAATGTAAGAAATCACAACAGAAAGATAGGTGCAAAAAGAATATACGTTTGCCCAAACCAAGATGACTTCATTTCATGAGGTTATAATAGTGTAATCACCAGGGACTTTCCAAATGATTTAAGTTTGCAAGTACATCTTTCAAGACAATATTCATCTAAATTAATTGTATATAACTGGCAGTTGGCAGAGTGTCATTTGTGTGAGTTTCGTAGCCAGAATTTGGCATTTGCCTCCTTTCTTTTTCTTCCATGGAGGAAAAACTTCATGCACAAACAAGATTAATACTTCCAAATAGACAGATGGTCTTAGCAGTTGGAGAAAAATGTTACCTGCTGAATTCCCGCTTATTGTGTAGCTCTTAAAGAAAGAAAAAATGCCACTAAAGCATATATACAGGAGACAAATGTCATCATTCTGGTGTAGTTGTCTCACATCTGTTTTATCATGAACGTTTGTTTGATTATACACCAAGTTAGGACTACATTTATTTTATCCAGCTTCTTGGCTTTCCAGTATCTCCTTTTCTAGATGTGCTGCCAGCAATGGCCAACAGATCAGAAGTACATTCATGGGAGACAAGGGACAGATGGGCTATTATGGAAGCACCTTCTGTTTCCTCAGTTATAAGCGGAAACATCTATTACCAAAAGTGTTGATTAACAGGCACGCTCAAGTGAATGTGCGGCCGTTCTTAGGCTAGCAACATAAATTTGTACACCAAGGATTCTTAAATGTTTTGCCGTCACCTCTCCCTTTAGTGCAATCTTAATATACCTCCAAATCAACAAGGAAAACAATCCAATTAAATGTTGGGAAAGGTAGATTTATTGTAACAATGCAATTGAAAAGTACCTGCCTTGGACTCTGCATCTCCACAAGAAAATGCAATTTACAGTTTGGGAAACCCCGATGTATCAGGTGGGTAGTTAATGATATCTCCAAAGCCTCACTTGTTTCACAGAATAAGCCAACCAGACTATGAATTTGATAGAATTTCATCATTCTTTGGCATGGGGGAATTTGGTGAAAGTCACTTCCTAAAAAATCCCAATGCAATTTGTTGAGAGCATTTATACTTTCTGTTCTTGAGTTTTCTAATACCAAATATTCCAGTAGTCTTCAGTAAAGAAAGTCTCAGTTATAAGTTTTGAAGTTTTCTTCCCCAAATTATTACATGGTTCTTGATGCTTCTTGTTACTGCAGATGCTTGGAGAAAACTGCCTAGAGAGTGCCTAGATGTAGCCATCTAAAATCACTCTTGACTGAGGCAGCATACAAGTCAATGAATGAATGACTACACAGTATTACACAGTGGCTATAAAAGGCCAAACACCCCTTTCAAAATGACAAGTTTTAATAACAATCATAATATATGTAAAAGTGATCTAGTCAATGTTTATTGCAAACCAGTGCATAAAGTGGATATAGAAAGTCTACACACCCTTGTTAAAATGCCAGGTTTTTGAGATGTAAAAAAATCAGACCAAGATAAATCACTTCAGATTTTTTTCTACCTTTGCTATAGCATATAAAAACTACAATTCAATGGTAAAACAAACTGAAATATTTTAGGAGGGGAAATTGCAGTAAAAATGTATATCTGGGCAGAGAATTTTAAGTAGGAAATTGATGGGAACATCCACACCTGAATGGATGTTCCTTGAAATGCAAGGAACTAGAGGGCCGAATCCATACTGGGAAAAGCACTGATGTGTTAAGGAAAAAAAAATAACCCTCTGAGCGAAGGGAAGTTCTTGGCTAGCTTGGCAACCCTTCCAGAATGTGACTTACACAGAAATGGCAAGAGAAATAATTCCTAAAGATTCACCACCTTTATCTGAGGGAGATGGATGGTTAAGAAATATGAAATATAATTAAATAAATACAGGTAATCCTTGACTTACGCCGAACATTTTTGTTGCTAAACGAGACAGTTAAGTCCCATTTTACAATGTTCCTTGCCACAGTTGTTAATGAATCACTGCAATTGTTAGTAACATAGTTGCTAAGTGAATCTGGCTTCGTCATTGACTTTGCTTATCAGAAGGTCACAAAAGATGATCACATGACCCCCAGGACTCTGCAACCGTCATAAATATGAGTCAGTTGCCTATCTTCTGGATTTTGATCACGTGACCATGGGGAGGCTGCAACAGTCGTCAGTACGAAAAACGGTCATAAGTCACTTTTTGCAGTGCTGTTGTAACTTTGAATGGTCACTAAACAAACTTTTGTAAGTTGAGGACTTTCTGTAAACAAATTTAAATGCTTTTCGTTTCATCAAAACGCCTTTTCAATGAAAAAAAGTTCCTTCATCTAAGATTGACTGATCCCAGAGATCCATTTTGGCGACTGTAACCTGTTTATTGAATATTTTCTTCAACTATTTCTTTCATTTCTCCAGACATTTTGCTCCTAAGTCTGTGAGCTGTTTTTAAATGATAAATGTTAAACCTTTACTTGGCTTTTAATTTGCTCTGCTCTTCTTTTCCATTTTCTATTAATCTTTTAATCACGCGCCTTCTCATAGTTGTATTGCAAGTTAGAGGAAAGGCTTTTTAAGCATGCATCCCCACTTTTCTGGTTTGGTTTTGTCTTTTTGGGGGGTGGGGTGTCCTTTCATTTGCTGGGTGCCCAAGTGCAAGTGGAAGGAGGCACCCCAAAAAACTGCTTCCAGATCATACTACCTACCATATGTGGTGGACATGTGCAGAAGCTAAAAGATATTGGACTAAAATACACACATGGTTGGAAAAGATGATAAAATAACATATCGATTTATAGCCTAAGATATTTTTATTGGGGACTTTGCCTGAAAATTATGGCAAAGGAATAACCTATTTGATTATTCATGTATTAACAGCAGCTAGAATTGTATTTGATTAAAATTGGAAAAATGAGAAAATTCTGATGGAGGAGGAGGTGATTAAGAAAATAATGGAATGCACAGAAATGAGTAGGTTAACAACAGCAATTAGAGAGCAAGAAGAAAATGAGGATTTGGGATTTATTTTATGGATGGTTAGAAAGTAGCGTAAGAAATTAAAGGATATTGTAATAATGATATACTGTAACAGATCATTCTGAATAAGTTAAAACATGAATATAAACTAGTAAGAGTTGGGATTTGCTTTCAAGGATAGCTGGAAACTGAAATAACCTAATGACATTGTAATAATGATATAATATGATATACACTGCTCAAAAGTTGAATGTGCTGACAACAAAATCACACAAAAATTATCAATGGAAATCAAATTTAGCAATCCATGGAGGTCTGGCTTTGGAGTTACACTCAAAATTAAAGTGGAAAAAACTACAGGCTGATCCAACTTTGATGTAATGTCCTTAAAACAAGTCCAAATGAGGCTCAGTAGTGTGTGTGGCCTCCACGTGCCTGTATGACCTCCCTACAATGCCTGGGCATGCTCCTGATGAGGTGACAGATGGTCTCCTGAGGGATCTCCTCCCACACCTGGACTAAAGCATCCTCCAACTCCTGGACAGTCTCTGGTGCAACGTGGCATTGGTGGATGGAGCGAGACATGATGTCCCAGATGTGCTCAGTTGGATTCAGGTCTGGGGAACTGGCGGGCCAGTCCATAGCATCAATGCCTTTGTCTTGCAGGAACTGCTGACACACTCCAGCCACATGAGGTCTAGCATTGTCGTGCATTAGGAGGAACCCAGGGCCAACCGCACCAGCATATGGTCTCACAAGGGGTCTGAGGATTTCATCTCGGTACCTAATGGCAGTCAGGCTACCTCTGGCCAGCACATGGAGGGCTGTGCAGCCCCCTAAAGAAATCCCACCCCACACCATTACTGACCCACTGCCAAACTGGTCATGCTGGAGGATGTTGCAGGCAGCAGAACGTTCTCCACGGCATCTCCAGACCCTGTCATGTCTGTCACATGTGCTCAATGTGAACCTGCTTTCATCTGTGAAGAGCACAGGGCACCTATGGCGAATTTGCCAATCTTGGTGTTATCTGGCAAATGCCAAACGTCCTGCACAGTGTTGGGCTGTAAGCACAATCCCTACCTGTGGATGTCGGGCTCTCATACCACCCTCATGGAGTCTGTTTCTGACTGTTTGAGCAGCCACATGCACATTTGTGGCCCGCTGGAGGTCATTTTGCAGGGCTCTGGGAGTGCTCCTCCTGTCCCTCCTTGCACAAAAGCCGAGGTAGCGGTCCTGATGTTGGGTTGTTGCCCTCCTACGGCCTCCTCCACATCTCCTCATGTACTGGCCTGTCTCCTGGTAGCGCCTCCATGCTCTGGACACTACGCTGACAGACACAGCAAACCTTCTTGCCACAGCTCACATTGATGTGCCATCCTGGATGAGCTGCACTACCTGAGCCACTTGTGTGGGTTGTAGACTCCGTCTCATGCTACCACTAGAGTGAAAGCACCGCCAGCATTCAAAAGTGACCAAACCATCAGCCAGGAAGCATAGGAACTGAGAAGTGGTCTGTGGTCACCACCTGCAGAACCACTCCTTTATTGGGGATGTCTTGCTAACTGCCTAAGCTTTCCACCTGTTGTCTATGTTGTAAAAATAAACTTTTTTAAAAAAAAACCTGCTTCTTGCTTTGAAGTCACAGATCCTCAAGAATTTGGAACTTCTATTGTAGACACCTTCTCATAAATTTCAACAATTTGATAAGATTTGATAAAATCTGAATTTCTTTAATTCCCTTTCCATCTCCTTCCCCTCCCTCATTTTTCCCTTATCTTTCAATTTTTTACTTTGCTTTCTGTGCTTGTGAAATAATCAAATAATCAATCCCCAGCAGTAATTTTGATCAATAACAACAAGAGTCTTTCTACCACATAGAGTAGTAGATTGAAAATACATATTTCCTTGGGGAAATCTTACTGGATGCTCAGCAGAAAAAAACATTCAATGACATATAATAAAATGAA